CTGTTAATAAGTCAGAATAAATTAGATAACAAATTTTACTTTGCAAAATATTCTTACTCAAACTATATAAGCTATAATATGAATGAAAGTTTGACTTTTTTTGGTAATTTTTTATAATTGAAAATAAAGTAAACAACTATCTAAATTTAACTAGATATTTGTATGATGAATGCAATATAAATAAAATATTTTTTTTCTTACCATGAAATAATAACAAGTATAGAAATTCTACTATAAAAGTATTCAAATTGTGTTGTGTCAAATAGGAGCAATATTATTATTTACACTTACTAGAGATGCTAAAAAGAATATTGGCTAATTTATAGTTTGAATAGTCTTGAAGATGGGCTGGGTAGGGAAGATACTAGCTCTCATTCTAGAGTTCCCTCTTCTCCCTCCACCTGGGGGCTAACATCTCGTATCAATACCTAAAACTTCAATTTTAATTGGCGGGCTTTATCCTCCCACTCTAAAGTCCTCTAACTTTACACCCTTCAAAAATTATTTTCATATTTATCTGCACTCAACCATATGAATTACATTCTCATCCATACAATCTCATGTGATTCTTACCATTAGTTGACTGAGACAATACCATCACGGATCTTACATGTTCTCCCAACAAATATTAACATCTCAATTGGCAAAATCAAGAAGTAAATGGAGTACAAGATTTTAAATGATCACAACTTATTCCAACATTTAAATATTAATACTTCACACAAATTTTATCCAACACTTAATCACTTACCATTTTAAGGAAAAGAAAACTACTCAAAATTCATGGGGAAAACACATCCACACTTAAGTTTAATAGTAGAAATCATGCAAATAAACAAGAATTCTAAATCAAAACCAAATGTAGTCATAAATATAAGAACTTATCTCAAATCCTCTCCACCAAACTCTTGAAGTTCTTTTGAATCTCTTCTCTTCATTTCTCTTACAATACTCTCTACTCACACACTACAACTCCTCTCCTTCTTTCTAAGAAAAATTATCATAATGAATCTATGAGAGAAGCATCGGTGGCATCTGAAGTGGGGTGCGTAGGAGTCTCTTTTAGGGTGTTGGGGGGGTAGGAGAGAGTTCTTCAATCCAATCCAAGTCTTCTTTTATAATTTTCCAAAATGTACTTTGGTGTCTCTTCAAAATGTGTCCACATTCAATGAATCTTCCAAGATTTTCCTCCTTTCAGAAGCCAATTAAATGTATTTTTGTGTCCATTAACCATATCCCATGTTTTCATCAAGAGTTGCTTCAAACGCCCCTTAAAAAATTCATCCAAATTTATTAAATCATCAAGTAACTATTTTTGGCGCTTAAGCGGGAGGAATGTGGCTCTTAAGTGCGGCCTTCTCGATTTTCTTGGCGCTTAAGTGTCAGTTCTGGGCGCTTAGGCGCAGTTCTTTTGCACACCTTGTTCATTTTTGCTCCAATTTTGATTCATTTTCACCCCTTTCATCATTTTTCATCCATTTTATTGTACCTGAAAGAAAAACTCATAAATGTCTTCCATTAAAGTGCAATATCCTAAAAAATAGATATAAAAATGTGTTACATTTTACGCCGAGGTCATTGAGGAAAATTAGGTAGTGGTCTTTCTACATTCTTCTTTGTTGGAGAGACTGGTTTTTCCACTTTTTTAGGAATACTTTCTTCAGGTTTTTCAGTTTCTTTATCTTATCTATCAACTTCGATTTCTTTTTAAACACCAACAGTCAATTTCTACCCTCTTCTTAGTTGGTCAACTTTAACTTGCTCTTGCTCTTTACTTTTATCTTTAAGATTGTTCTCAACATTACTAAGAAGTGTTTTTTGAGGCCAATTTGTAATTGGGTTAGCAATTTGTCCCAGTTGATTCTGCATGTTTCTTATAGTAGCATTCTGATTTTGTAATTGATTACCCATTTGTAAAACTACTTCTTCTCCTTAATTTTTTGATTACTGTTAAATCTAGAAAAACAAGTAGGTCTAAATTTAGAATTACTCTGATTGTTCAAGTATTCCAATGAGTTTAGTTGATTGTTCCTCATTGTTGACACCACTAGAATTATTATTTCAGTTAAAGTTTGGATGGTTTTTCCAACCTAGGTTATAATAATTGAAATATGGGCTATTGGGTTTATTAATAACATTTATAGCTTCTAATGAAGTTTGAGAATCAAGCATTTGTGATAATGAATTTTCTGATAATGTAGCTTCTAATGAAGTTTGAGAATCAAGCATTTGTGATAATGAATTTTCTTCAATCAATTGAGGTGTTTGAGAAAAATCCTATCCAACTTGGTATATTTTCCTAGATAATGCAACAACTTGTGAAGCAACCATTGAAATAGCATCATTATCAAGAACACTGTCGACTTTCTTAGGATTTACCCTTTCAGAAGGCCATTGAAAATTATTTGTAGTCATTTCTTCAATTAAAGCATAGGCTTCATCAAATGAATTAGACATCAGCAGCAACAAGCAGCAACATCTATGAACATCTATGATAAATCTAAGGGATCCAACTAACCCATTATAAAAAGTTTGAACAATTAACCAGTCTGGTAAAACATGATGTGGACACTTTCTAACAATTTTCTTGAATCTTTCTCAAGCTTCATAAATTTACCCCCCTTCATAATGAGTAAAAGAAGTAATATCATTTCTAAGTTTAGCAGTTTTTTAAGGTGAAAATACTTAGCTAGGAATTTTTGTGCCAAATCTCCCCAAGTTCTAATAGATCCAGGTAAGCATATCTTAGCTTTATCCCTTAATGAAATGGATCCAACTAACCCATTATAAAAAGTTTGAACAATTAACCAGTCTGGTAAAGCATGATGTGGACACTTTCTAACAACATCAGTACATTTGTACATAACATCAGTACATTTGTCTAGAAATATTATAAATATTACAACAGAGATAAATAAAATATCAAGTATAATAAATATAAAGAAAATACATCAACATCATAGTGGCAGTACAAGGAAAATTAGAGATATTGAAAAAATCCTAAGAAATCAAATCTAATCCTCTTCAAACAACACATAAATCAGATCACTCCGCAACTACAATGAACACAACAAACCACAAACAAACATAACTCACAAACACACTAACACAGATAACTACCTTGGGTTGCCTCCGAAAAAGCGATTGGTTTAACGTCGTCAGCCCGATGAATTATGTTTGCATACCACGGAATGTGGCATCCAGTAATTTTAAATAGTTACTTTCTCTTGCTAATCTCTTCATCCAAAT